TATGGATAAAATATACAGAGATCACACTAAATATTAAAATAGGCGGTACAATTAGCAAATATTTTAGGTGTTGGCTCCCTAGCTATATATAATATAACAATAATGCATTAAGTTAAAATTTAGACACCTCTTAAAGATGCCTGTCTTCTAAGTTATTGCCATACTTCTACCTGACTACACAGCGCAAGAACCCATAAAACAATCATTTTCAAATCAAAATTTAATTTATAACAAGCTTTAGATTAAAGTAGTTTTCAGTAATATAATGAATAATTCAGTTCAGAATCTCTTACATATAAAACTATTAATTCACCTGTTCTTGTGTATACGTATTTAATTTTGTACCCGTCCTAATGTGAGACTGAGGACATTTCGGAAGAAAGAATTAAGGCGAATACTTAGATGTAAGAGCGAAGGTAACAGGTTAATGAAAATAATTACGTAAAAAGGAACTTTGGATTAATAAACCCTACAGTTGGAGGCCTAGTTGTACAGGCGGTTAATATTAAAGTAGATCTGGAACTATGTAGGCTATGGTAATGTGCCTGGATTCAGCTGGCTCAGCATAGTTTGCAGTGGTCGGATGTTTTAAATGCCATAATGAGTTGTCGTGTTCTTTATAAGACGGGAAATGCCTTGAAGCTTCAGAAACATGAGTATTTGCTTCATGAACCTTGTTAATTAAAAAACAGTTCAATCGATAAGTCCATTAATTAACGGAATCATACATAATTTGTCACGAGAAACAGTAACTACTTTAGAACAAAATTAATAAACTCTGTGATAAAAGGCTTCGTATTTATATTCTTGTGTGAAACACGCAATCCTACTGACAGAATGTTTGACACTTTCTAAGATAAGATAATCGTTTCGGTTAAACGTTTAAAAAAAGTTACTTCGTTATAAGCAGGGACAGGAACATTGATCACACTACAAATATATCACTGTCATCTTTGCCAGTTTACAAAGCTTTAACCAAAACTGTTCTTGAAAGTGTTCGAGGTGACGGAGGTAGAACGTATGACTTAAGTCAGAATGTTGCAAATGGCGGTCCGCTGGCCATATACAGCCCGATATACTGATAATCTCGTAAAGCTAAATATATACGCCTGTGTCTTAGTACATTTTTACGTAATCATGTCTCTGTTCAATCAGGTTAAGATCTATAAATTATTACAAATAGTGTCACGTAAAATTAAAACCCAGTGTTAATACAAAAATTAAAATTTGCTCCAGATTAAAATAGTATCATGAAATTTGATCAGTAAGTTGTTATTGAACGAACGCTATAGGTTCTAATTAAATTTTTGAAAACGCATTAATAATTGCCGGTTAAAACATTGGAATTTATGAGTAATATCAGTACATTCTAGATTATTACAACATTATCCTAAAACAGGATCTATATAGTGTTTTAAATGCCAAATTTCGTAGGTCGTAATCTAAATATCAAACACACTCATAATATGAATTTAAACAGTAAACAAAATTTGATTAAGAACTTCAAATTTACCTGACAGTAACAACTTAATTTAAAAGCAAATGCTAAGATAGACCGAAGCTTAAAGAAGTATGAGTAGGCCCTCGGAGGTATATAGTCTTCATATGTAGGATAGGTGATATATTTTAATGTATAAATATAAACAGTTAGTAGTTTTTATTATATTCGACAGCTCTGTAACTTCGTTTGTTACAGGAATACAGACTGAAAGGAAATATACTTATCAATAACGCTAGGAATAGATCTGATATGAAAATAAGTGATTGTGACCTAATTCAGGGAGTTAAAAAAGAATTTTCTGGAAGGGACTGAGAAAAAGCACAAAAACTTAGTGATGACAGCCTATGTTCGATCCAGGTACCTCCCGAATGCATAGTAAGAGTGCTAAGTGGTACAACTCCTCTGTGTATTGGGTGTAGGCACGTAAGTTTGTGTGTGTGTGTGTGTGTATGCACGCATGCAATTTTAGACTCGCAACAGTCTCGAAAAGCACAAATTCAAGTTTTATATTTGCAGCATGGGCTTATACTTCATAGCAGATGCATTTGTTTCATTGTGCTAAAGTCAAAAAATAAAGTATTTTATAATTTGTAAGTTCAGTAACAAAATTAACTCGTATAACAAAATATTTATTTTAACGTCAGGCCGCTTAATAAGAAAATCCAGTTTTAACGTGAACAAAATTTGACTTAGGTTTACGTAGTATATAAAGTAGTGCCAGTACATCGGCTATGTTGTTTTGGGCATATTTCGTAATTTTTCGCTGAAATAAATTCATAGTGGTTTTGTTTAATTAATCCTTCACGAGAAACTAATAGTAGGTCAGCTAGTCAATTCTTTTGTTTTATACAGTCCGAATGTTTCACTTATTAGCTGCCTGTCGAAACAACAAACTGAAGGACCACCCATTTTTGACTGTCTGCGAATGCTTATTTCCTACCCTCCACATGCGTTGGCTGACTTGTCCATGCAAGACCTGAGGAAGAGGAATTTTCCGATGTGAAATGGACCCACTTAACTTGCTGCAGGCAAATTAATAATTAATAAAATATTACTCAGTGCGAGATTAAAACAGATAATAACAGCAGAGAAGGGTAAGATCGCTAAAGCGTGCTACTTGCTACCTCGGCTCTCATCACCCAGGACTCGATTCTCACTCACCGCATTGAAGATTTGTGCGTTTCCTTCAGCATTTTATTATAATAAGTAACGCGATTGCCAGCTCAGTGTGTGGGGGAGATAAACGAAATTGACATCACATAATCCGCCATGTTCATAAAACAATCTTGGCCTCATGAATTACGAATATCGATTCCCAGCTTTGATCAGCAGAAGTTTCTTTTAAATATTAGGCAGTATTTATTACTGTGATATGTTAATGTGCTATGGTATGAAATTAATGTCTTGTTAATAAGAAAGTGAAATGCTTTGAGCACAGAAAAAAATTAATGATCTGGGGTCATTAGTGTTTGTAAACATCACCTTGATAATATATAATTCACCTTATTAATTTTAAAATAATAGCCTACTTTTAGCTGTGGAGCCCATCTGGTATACATATTTATAACTGCATTGGGAAATAAATGTAGTTATTTTGCGACTGTTAGCAAAACGTACCATTTATAGAACTTCAAATTTAATCTCCTATAAACAAGTTGTAGAACCTTGTAGAGCCTTGTATTTTTCATTAAGGAAGTTAACTTACAGAACGACAGGAATAAAATAAGATTCCATACAATTTTTTTTATTAACTAAAGTGTGATTCTTCATTGTAGTTACATTATTCTGAAAAATCCCATGATTTACATTGCTCAAAATCACTTGAAAATAGATTGGCATTTTTTAACGTAAAATTAGAAAGATTTGGACTCAACAAGTCGAGAGTTTAATTTTGCATTGATGTCGATAATTCCAACGAAACGTCAAATTATAAAAATCATAATCAACATTGTCATCCATAAATCAAAAATATCAGGCCACAGTCGTTTGAAAGTCTTCCCCTTACAACAATAGAAACTGTAATTATGAAAGTCAAAATGAAAATAATTCTCTCTTATTTCTGTCCGTCTCTGCTTGTATTTGTGTTGTTAACTCGAATTAAGAAAGTTAATCACAATTTATTAAGAAACATTTTTATTTTGCAAGTGAAGAAAAGGTATTTTGAAATACATGCCACATGTGCTAAATTATTAGCTCTCTGTTTAGTTAATTAAGGAAAACCTTCTTATTGATGTACCTTATGCTGTGTATTGTCATGTATTTTGAGGTAATAAACAACATATAAACTCCGTTTTCATGAATTATAAACAAAACACTACAATAGATTTATGTGAAAGATTCTGACAAAGAGTCTGAGAATTTTCATAACTTTATTAAATTATTAATTTAATTTATATCAGTGGTAATGAAATTCTCTTGACATTTTAAAATAAGGCTTCCCTTGTTGATTTTAACTACGAAATACTATGATAAATCCTTTGCAATTTATGTTCGGGAAATCTAGTAACCTTTATACTGGATAATCACTTTGAACGTTAAAGCTACGCTTTCATAAACAAATAAATAAAAATATTGAAACTAGAATAGTTATTCAAAGTATATCAAATTGTATTACTTCATTGTTTTATATTTACTTATGTCTCTTAGCAGGATATTTCAAAATAATGCTCTTTAAGAGCAGTCTGTTTAAAATTAAAAAGAATTTTGAAGCTTTTTCTAATTTTAGGGAACTTTATATGGAAAATAAAGACTTCTGAAACGGACATATAAAGAAGCCTATTTATATAAACCTCACTGAACTCCGTAGATAAGTGATTAGCGCTTCTATGTAGTATTTAAGAGATCATTGTTTTATTCTTGTTCTGGAGGAGGGCTAATCTAACTTTAGATTTTATTCCGTAGTTATCCTCAGTCCCCCCAGGAAAATGCTAAGATAGCACCCTAAAACAGTGGCTTCCATATTCTTTCCATTCCAGAATGTGGAGCAAACTTATTACTCCTCACCACATAATTTATACGGTTAAAAAGGTGCTTAAATAATCCACGGAAGCAGACATATTGAAGAGAGCTTTGTCTTATTTCCAACATAATTTTAAGTGCTAAAATATATTGAAGTAATATCTGTTCTATTTTATGTAATACGTGATTGTTTTTTAAGAATTCCCCATGCACTGCTTTAAAAACTCGTGTCTAGAATACCATAGAAGCAGGGGAGTGCATTTAGAATAGGTCATACTTAGCTCAGTATATTAGCGAGAATGAAGAAACTTGCGCAGACGAAGATGCGCGTACATGAAACTAATGTCATTAAATAAACGTTTCCTGTCATTCTTGCAAGCAAATATCTCTTTGTTCTGTGTGACTTTCGAAATCCAGTTTCCAAGCGAAGCCTAACTTAAAACTTACTGCGAATTAAATAATGAAATATAGTTAAATTTTGTTCATAAATGTGACGTGGAATTGAAAGGATACTGAGTCCCCTTATTAATTTTACACTCACCTACTCCAGCGACGTGGATCTTCTTCATCCACGGATATATGATACGATCCCCAGACTCCGAACTGTCGTCCTGATCGAGTTCCACCTGATCGTCATCCAAATCGTCTTGGTCCTCCTCGACGTCCAACCTGTGTTGTTGCTGGACCAATTCCTGCAACGGAAGCTGTTGCTGTTGTTGACTTTGTTGGATTAACTGATGATGAACGACGGACGGTGGGGACGATTCACTGTCTTGGTGCGACGCAACCACCACAGACGTCGGGCTTAGGTTTCCATTGCTGGCAAGGATATTTGTTGCCTGAGAAACATTATTAGCACTGAGTCCTGGAAGAATTGTTGCTGCTGATTGCTGCTGAGTCTGTAACCCACACGGCGGTGGTGGCTGGATCGTCGGTGGTTGTTGTGCTTCTGGGGGTAACGGCATCGCTGCTGTTGGGTGATGATGTGGATGAACTGTGTTGTGGTGAGGATGCGGTGGAGGAGGTATCTGATGATGATAATAGTTTCCATAACTGCCGTAACTTCCAGCAACCCCCGAACCTCCATTAAGTTGAACTGTCGCTGCTGTTGGCGCACCGTAAGGTGTTCCTGTCGCCTGATGCTGATGGTGATAGCCATACTGGTGATGGTGGTGATGGTGGGTCAGATGGTGATGGTGATGGTGTCCAGTGCTGAAGAAATCACCAGCTGCGGATGGTATGTAGTTACTCTGACTATATTCTTCACTTGGGGGAAATTTTGGGTCTACGACAACAGCCGTCGCGTGGTGGTGGTGGTGATGATACGGTGATGAGGACGAGGGTGATGACGACGACGAAGACGTAGCCGATGTCGGATGCGGCACTACTGCCGATGATGGTAAAGATGTTGCCACGGCAGCTGAAGACGGGTTCATCAAAAACGAACTCATGATCATTAATTTTTCTCAGGGTTTGGGTTTTCCTTCGTATAACAGCGAAGTGCAGTTCGTTTTCGATGAGGAGGACCCGAACCCGGTGGTGGAGGTGGTAATGGCAGTGGAGGGAGGGAGAGGTTACTCTTCAAGTACTGAGGAGAAATGGCGTTGCGACACGCAGAGGAAAGGGTGGGGTACGAAATATATTTTTTTTGTATCTTCTCTCTCTTATGCCCTTATTCACTCTTTACTACAGTGTCACTCGCGATTTTTTATTGCTTATTCACCTGAACGATCCCAATTCACTGCTTCTGGAGGTCGGGTATTCACCGTGCCTTACTTTTTGGGAATTTTGAGTACAGTGAAGAGAAACTTTGTCTCTTCCCGTCCCTCCATAAAAAACACCAACCTTCTCATCATCTCCCTCCCCCACAACACATCAAAAAGAGAAACCCCCCTACAGCTGATTTTTCTCTCCTCCCCCGCCCCTACTTTCGGGTTGAAAATCTCTCCTCCTATTCCACGTTACGTCTACAACAACTAAAAAAAGTTCCCGCCCACAGTCACCCAATTAGCATACCACGTGACTTGCCCTCCGACCAATTAGAACGTTGCAACGTCACCGACCATGATGGATTACCCTCGACTACTTCGACAATGTAACGAGTATGGCGCCACCACCAGACTGAGTGGCGAGACTTGGAACTAAAGTGTCTGTCTCTGTCTTTTGAATTCTGGTTGTGTTGAGAACTGGATGGTGTGCAAAGCAGTGAGGGAGAGTGTTTTTTTATAAGGGTACTTTTTATGATACGTAGTGGCAGTGATGGTGGTGGTAGTGGCTTCAAACTGCGCAAGTTTTAACTAGTAGCTTTGTTTTAGGTACAAGTTGTGCATTTGCGTTGACGGTTATGCTCGGGAAACATCTGGTCTTCGTACAACACATATCGAGTTGCCTTGTGCCTTCCTAACATTAACAGCGCGTTATATTTACTACGGGACTTCTAAAAGAATGTAAATAAACGATTATAACATGTTCATTCTTGACATAAGCAGTTGATTGATATTCACTCTCTCCCAAAGTCACACTCCCACGTTGTCCAAGCGAAAAACTTATATGCCTACACACGTGAACACTGAAATACCTTCCATGTCCAACTTTCAATCTCTTTTAAAGAAATTATTATTAATATTTCATATACATTAAACAGTCCACATTATTATCCAAAAATTTAAGTTCACTTCACAAAAGTACAAGTAATACTTACAATTATATTAACACCAAGCTTATTTTTGTAAACCAGCGCCTTTTAAACCATCAACGCTTAAGACATGTTTACATTTAATTTGCAATCCTCTGGTTATTCTTCATGTAGCCGATGATTCGGATTCAAAATTAGTTCCATAATAATACACAGAAGTAGATGATATCATGGACTCATTTGATGCTGATGACGTAGATCTTCTGAATCACTGTCAATGTGTGTTATTTCAAAAGCAGGTGCGAACACATTTCAACACGTTACGAGAACAGCGCAGACAGACACTAGCGAAGTCAAGCGACGTCCGACACGATGTAATACTATCAGTGGTTCGTATTGAGGTTTGACTGATGCAGCACATACGAAGCACCTAACTAACCACTCTGTTTGGCCGTGGCCATGCCACTCGTCACTTTGTACTGTTTTCTCACTCACACATCACGACAAACTGGTAACCTCTCTCTTTCTCCTTCTGTCTCTCTTTTGCTATGGTTGTCCCTCTCTCCTCTCTCTCATTCTATCGCATGAATCCTACACATCCGTCCTTTTCTACGTTCCTTGTTACCCTTCATCCCCCACTCACCGATTCTGTCGCTCTCCGCCAAAACCCACCCCTGAAGAGAGCTGTCTGTCAAGCAGAGCTAGAGGAGGGTTGGTTGGTCGGTCCAAGATGTGTAGCTGAATTTCTCCCACAACGGCAACATCGTCTTCATCATCGTTGTTGGAACCCCTGAAGTCCTCGGTACTGTTCAAAAGACCAGAATGTTTGCCTCAAATCAAAAGGTCCGTTATCTGTGTTCTGAAGAAGGTGTTGGTAATAACAAGTAATTTTAATAACTAATCTGCATTTGCGTTGACGGTTATGCTCGGGAAACATCTGGTCTTCGTACAACACATATCGAGTTGCCTTGTGCCTTCCTAACATTAACAGCGCGTTATATTTACTACGGGACTTCTAAAAGAATGTAAATAAACGATTATAACATGTTCATTCTTGACATAAGCAGTTGATTGATATTCACTCTCTCCCAAAGTCACACTCCCACGTTGTCCAAGCGAAAAACTTATATGCCTACACACGTGAACACTGAAATACCTTCCATGTCCAACTTTCAATCTCTTTTAAAGAAATTATTATTAATATTTCATATACATTAAACAGTCCACATTATTATCCAAAAATTTAAGTTCACTTCACAAAAGTACAAGTAATACTTACAATTATATTAACACCAAGCTTATTTTTGTAAACCAGCGCCTTTTAAACCATCAACGCTTAAGACATGTTTACATTTAATTTGCAATCCTCTGGTTATTCTTCATGTAGCCGATGATTCGGATTCAAAATTAGTTCCATAATAATACACAGAAGTAGATGATATCATGGACTCATTTGATGCTGATGACGTAGATCTTCTGAATCACTGTCAATGTGTGTTATTTCAAAAGCAGGTGCGAACACATTTCAACACGTTACGAGAACAGCGCAGACAGACACTAGCGAAGTCAAGCGACGTCCGACACGATGTAATACTATCAGTGGTTCGTATTGAGGTTTGACTGATGCAGCACATACGAAGCACCTAACTAACCACTCTGTTTGGCCGTGGCCATGCCACTCGTCACTTTGTACTGTTTTCTCACTCACACATCACGACAAACTGGTAACCTCTCTCTTTCTCCTTCTGTCTCTCTTTTGCTATGGTTGTCCCTCTCTCCTCTCTCTCATTCTATCGCATGAATCCTACACATCCGTCCTTTTCTACGTTCCTTGTTACCCTTCATCCCCCACTCACCGATTCTGTCGCTCTCCGCCAAAACCCACCCCTGAAGAGAGCTGTCTGTCAAGCAGAGCTAGAGGAGGGTTGGTTGGTCGGTCCAAGATGTGTAGCTGAATTTCTCCCACAACGGCAACATCGTCTTCATCATCGTTGTTGGAACCCCTGAAGTCCTCGGTACTGTTCAAAAGACCAGAATGTTTGCCTCAAATCAAAAGGTCCGTTATCTGTGTTCTGAAGAAGGTGTTGGTAATAACAAGTAATTTTAATAACTAATCAACTCCACGGAACAGAGTCCTTGAGAAGTTGATGGCCGTTCAGTTGGTAAATAACATCCCAGCCTTTTATTTAGTCCGAATATTCATTACAGTGTTCAGAAGACTCAGTCACTAAACCCTATCCTGGGCCCACAAAAATTTTGTAATTCGACATAGTTCCCTCATGTTGGTTTCTTCAAGGTACAGATTTGTTACCCGCCTAAAGTTGGAGGACCATCCCTTTTCTCCCGTCCCTGACTTGATCGCTCAATTTTAAATGGTTCTACTAGGCTGCAATTGTGTTTGGAAAGAAACTGCAGATATTAGCCAGTGTACACGCTAAGATAATGTAATGTCATTTACAAAACGTGGAATAGAAGAATTAACAAAGTGTACAAGTGTTTCTCCTTGTGGAAGCTTTACGTTCTATCACGATTTTCTGCATCCGGTGTTGCATAAAATTTGTTGAAGTTACAAACTAATAAGAGCAAAGAACATTCGTAACAATTAGTTTAAATTAATCTAGGCCCATTTTTGCAATTATCTTTACTGTGAAAGGAATTAATTCAGTTCCGCAAAATTGGATTCCATATACATAGGCATACTGGATATAATGAGTTAATTCAAAGAGTTATTAATTATTCCAGTTTTATTGTTTGCGAAATGCATATTCTACACTTCTCTTGTCTGCTAATTTCCATCTTTTAAATTATTAATATTAATAATTTCTTATTTATTTCTATTTCTACGTGGTCAATTTTTAAACACTCGATTTGTAAAAGACCTTTAATATAATTACATTTATAACATTTTATCTTAGAGGACTTAACTATCAAATAGAAAACAAAATAAGTTAGAATATTTCTGATTTAGTCTAGTCTGTTCAGACTTAATTAATCTCATTGTATTAATTTAAGTAATCATACCCAGCCTAATAATTCGAATTGTGAAAATCAAACAAATTGGTTATAATGTTTATATTTTAGCGGATAATCTAAGGAAAGCGCTTCAATTAGCAATGTCGATGGTAATGAGATAAATATGGTTACGGAATACCATAGAGAAACGTAGAAGTAGGAAGTAGAAATGTTCATTTCGTTTAGTAATTTAACATACACAATTTGTCTATATTTAAATCTTTTATACTTGTAATTGTCTACGTATCAACTGCTTTAACAATTAGTAACTCAGCATTTTGTATTTATGTTTCATAATTCTCACAATAAATAATTATTATTTTCTTAAGTAGCATTAACTACTTGATCTCTGTAGTGGCGAAGTATTAGTTTTCTTTGCGGTACGGACTGAATTCTTAAATTTTATTTAGACAAGCTTCAGTTTCAAGGGGTTAATGCTGATAAGAATTCCTAATAACCACTGCTAACGAGTCTATGGTAAGAACATAGAATTACAGAAAGTGTTTTATTTCAAATCGGATTTATAGTATACGCAGAAGGAACGGAAATTATGAGCCGATTAAATTCAGAAATTACAGATACCTTACCGTCTATTTCATGTCTAGAATTTGAATAAGTTGAAATTTTACATATTCTAAATCATGAATTTTCATCCGAACAGAAGAACGTTAATGGATATAGAGTGTTTAAGATAGTGTTTGCAAATAAGTACGTAATAGGATGATTTATAATTTGCGCTCTTCACTATTTGGTTAGAGGTTCATATGGGTGTAAAGAATTATAGTTGTAAAATTTGAAGACACGTGACTACGCGGTGGAATTGCTAATACATGTATAAGGCGCAGGTGTAACGTTAAAATTGTACTTTAAGCAATAAGGGGTGAATGTGTAGAATAGATTCAAACGACTCGGGTTAGGATCTTGCGAAGACAATATTAAAATTTAGCATTTCATAAGATTCGGGCAATTTATTGGCCAGCTGAGCAACCTAAAGCTTCTTAAACGTTCCGTGGACTTAATTATTTATGAATATAAATGAGTTTTAAGCTACAAGTGGTTCACGCCCAAACTTACGTGGCATCTTTGGTAAAATAAGAAATATCTTGAATACAAATTTTTAAATCTTACTAAAATTTTTATCTACGCTAATGAAGCAATGTATTGTTTTGAATATAGGGCTACGTCAATTTTGATTTTTCCGAGAAATCGACAGAATTCACTAAAATTAAATGGAATGTGGACCTACCATGAAAACGAATTTCGAAAATATGGCTTAATCACTTAAACGTATGTATAGGTTAGTTACTTATGTCGGATTATTACTAATTTTCTGAAAAAATCGCGTACTGTCACAGTGACTAGTGTTTTATATCGAACACAAAAAGTTTTATAACTTACTCGAAGAAGATTCGCATTATATATTTTAAGTCTGATTTCTCATATATTCGTTGGCATGATTCCCTTATCTTTCTTTCTTTCTGCTTTCCTCTCCGTCCCTTGTACCCCTGCCGCCGTTTCCGGAGACGAAACACAATCAATCACAATCCTCGCGCGACGCTCAATTTTCTCTCCTTTTCCTCTCCCCCTCTCCCCCTCACACCATTTCTTCTTTAACTTCCAACCCCTGCGTCCAAGCCGCCCTCCCTCAACGCTCACCCTTTTCCGCTTTTTGAGACACAAACGACAGTGGCGGATCTGGACATTTTCATTTGTCGTTCTTTGGTTCAAAGAAGAAAAATAACAGACATTTTGCCCGCTATTCATTACCATCACTTAACGGTCCCTAGAAATCTGAAAGACACATTTATTATTAATGCTTCAGAAAAGTTTGCCAGTACAGTGCGTGTAGGTCTATTTAGATCTTTTCGACAGCTGATTGTCTTTTTTTCAAAATAATCAGCCTATGTATATTTGTAAATAAGTCAAATATCCCGAATTTCACTTGTCATTCCATGGTTCGTTTGGAAGCATTGATGTAAATAATTAGCATTATTAATGAATGTTACTGGGATTACCATCATGAACAGTCATGTCTTCTTTCTCAACTTTCTGTTAAAATACAGCAACAACTAAAAATCACTGCTAAAATGAATATGTTAACAGCTGACCTTGAAGGTTTATTTTCTGTAATAACAATTTAGGAGTGAATGTTAGGAAATAATGACAGTTTTGAGTTATTTTAGAGTGAATTGGACAGAACTATAAACGATACCTTTCTTGTTGAGGAAAGGAGGACTTAAGTAAACCATGAATGAGATAGTTTGAATACCCTGTGCTACCACAGAACAGTGTCCTAAATCTTGAAAGGTAGAAGCAGAAGTTTGACAGTGATATGTAGGTCTTTCGTAGTTTGAAAATTGAAAATAACCATTAATTTCCCATGCCTGATAACACCATAACCATTAGTCATATACCTATACAGAAACTCCCAAACCAGAGTGAATTATAGAAAAGGCACAAAAATGTATTTAAATGCAAATAAGTTAAACATGAA